AGTTGCACTGCCCCAAGGGGTAGACAACAACACCAAAACAATAACAGCAACAACAGCAAAATCAGCAACATACTGGCTCTGTTCAAGTCTGTTGCCCCTTACATCTGTAGGCCACCTGCACACAACAACAACAACAACACAATAACTACTACAACATCAACACAATAATGACAACAACAACAACAACAACAAAAACAACAACAACAACAGTAACAACAATAACCACAGCAACAACAACAACAATCAAACAACTGTTTCGATTCTTTTCATAAATAAATGAATCACTGACCTCATATAATTTTTCTGTTTGGTTTTTGCTGCAGGTTGCGCAAGCTATGCCACCACCTCATCTCTCGACGGTGGTTCGACAACGCCGTGCTCATCTTTATCGCGCTCAACTGTATCACGTTGGCTATGGAGCGACCCGACATTCCCCCCGACAGTTTGGTGAGTCTCTTGCTCTCTCTCTCTCTCTCTCTCTCTCTCTCTCTCTCTCTCTCTCTCTCTCTCTCTCTCTCTCTCTCTCTCTCTCTTCTCTCTGTCTGTCTGTCTTTCTCTCCCTTTGTCTCTCTCTCTCTCTTCCTCTCTCTTTCTCTGTGCCTTTCCTCAGTGAGAATCTGGGACGTGCGACCGTTTGCTCCTCAAGAGCGATGTGTGAAGATCATGTCTGGCCACCAACACACGTTGAAAAGGTATTTCTCTGTGCTTTTCCCTCTGTCTGTCTGCCTCTCTCTCTCTCCCCTCTCTCCCCCCCCTCTCTCTCTCTCTCTCTCTCTCTCTCTCTCTCTCTCTCTCTCTCTCTCTCTCTCTCTCTCACACGATGCTTTCACATTATCCCCTGCGCTTTCTCACCCCTAGATCGCACCTCTCACATAAGAATCTCGCTCTCTCTCTCTCTCTCTCTCTCTCTCTCTATCTATCTATCTCTCTCTCACACGTCCTCTTTCTCTTGTCTGTCTGTTCGCTTGTCTTTATGTCAGTCGTTTTCTTTCTCTTTCTCTCACTTTGCCTCTCTGAACGGTGCATCTATGTCTTCTCTGTATCCTAGACACGACTGGTTTTTAGAACAGAGCACACAAAAGAGAAAGAATCTGTGAGAGCAATCCAGTTGTACACATCTCAGCGATGTTTGTGTGCTGCTCTTTTTTTTCAAGGGATTGTTGTGTGCATTTGATCTGTTTGATAGTCAAAAACTATAGGCAGTTTACCATACAGATATCTTCGCAAATGCAAATGAAAGATGAATGTAATCAATATAAAAGGTACTGCGGTATGCGTAGAAAAAAATAAGAAGATAGGAGCTTTTGGCTATTACCTTGACTGAATGAGGATAATGTACTTTAAGCAAAGGCAGTTGCTTGACAAAATATCAGTCTTCGCTACGCCAAAGATTTATATAAAAAGATATTGGCACTTACAACAATATTATTGCTAGGCGATAATACTAAAATAACAACAACAACAAATAAATACTGTCAATAACAATGTAATGTCGTCATTACAGGTGGCTTTCGAGGTAAATAAGTCAGTGTGTGGGGTTTTGTCATACATAACGAGAGCATGAACCGTGTTCGTCCCATCAATTGTTTACCCTGGCTGTTGATGTCAGTTCGTGCAGTTGGTTTGCTGACACCGCAACAGTCCGTCTGCTATCTGCTTATGCCATAGACTTGTGTTACATCCTAGACCGTGCACTGTGACGTATTTCTGGTTCAGAGGATGCCTGATATTCTTTAAACAGCTCCATTTGACCCAATTTAAGCCATAATGCAGGGGAAATGGAAAAGAGGGGTGGGGATGGTGGGAAGGTTACTCAATTATAGTATAGCCATGACAGTGCGCAGTCGAGGGGTATAAGTCAATGGCATGTGTTAACCTATAGAAGCACTGCCTGTGTCTATGTCTTACTTCTTCTCTATCTCTATATTCCCACTCCCTCCAAATCTCTCTACCTGCCCCTCTCTCTGTCTGTCTCTCCTTTCTCTCTCTCTCTCTCTTTCTCTCTCTCTCTCTCTCTTTCTTTCTCTCTCTCTCTCTCTCTCTCTCTCTCTCTTTCTCTCTCCCTCTCTTTCTTTCTCTCTCTCTCTCTCTCTCTCTCTCTCTCTCTCTCTCTCTCTCTCTCTCTCTCTCTCTCTCTCTCTCTCTCTCTCTCTCTCTCTCTCGTCTCTTTCTAGTGCCCTGTATTGTTTTTCTGCACGCCTTTTCTGGGGTGGCAATCTTTCAGCCCCACAACACGCGTACTACTAGATTTCTATAAATGTTCGTCTTTTTTAGTCATTGCTGAGTTTAAAACAAAACTATCATATTATTATGTAGTCACCCTAGCAGTACGAAGTTGCCTTTTTAACGTAAAGACCCCAAAAGTGCCCCAGAAGGCGTCTCTCGCATGATACGGACGCTATGGGCACAATTGTTTGAACCTGTGGTGAGCTGTCGCGGCGATCGGCATGTTTTCCTGTTGTTTGGTGGCCAGTCTTTTGATTCCTTACCTGTCCCAAAATGATACTGTGCAAAATTCAGTTGTCTTCTCATTCTGAAGTAATGTAGTTTTATTCCCATTATCTGTTATACCAGAGGAGTTATGTACAAACTTTGATGAAAACCAAAGTTAGAGTAAGTACAACATTTATGTAAATAGTTGAAGCTCGGAGGATGCCTGAACGTTTTAGCCGATGCCCGTTAGATTTGAGATAATGTCTTTTTAAACAGAGATGTTTTTTACGCTTCTATCTACACAATCTAGATCAATTAGAAAAAGGAGGCGAGCTTTGTACCTCCTTGTCAGTGTTGGCCTGAGTTGAGAGAGATACAACGTCCTTGAAAAATAAAGAGACTCTCAATAAAAATTCTTACCACACGAGAATTGAACATGGAAGTTCTCGTGGAACGGCAAGGCGTCTAATTTCCACACAATAGACGCCGGTACAATGTCTCTAATATCTTAACTCCTTATCACAGAGCTTAAAAATTGCAAGTGCCCACATACAGATTGTCCCCAGCACCTTTCATATCCGTCTCCTTCCTGTGTTTATTGTAGGTTCCTAGAGTGATCCCCGCAAATAGCAATGCTCTTGCAAAGCGCCCTCATATTCTAGTTCCCCCGCGTGCGTAGGTAGTGAGACAAAGACAGAGTTTCAAAGGGAATACAATTAGTTTTCTTGTTCTGGTTGTGTCTTGTCTTGCCAAAGATGGACTCCCCGGCCCCTATTTTAGAGCTGTGGCCCGATGTTTTGGAAGTACCTCTTGCACCGTAACCTCCTAAAGCTTTAATCATAGCATATTTGGCATGTCCACAACTTCATAATTATATAGAATTAACTATAGCCCTGCAGAAATGAGCACCTCAACACTGTACAGCACAACTGCATCGCCAGGGCACGTTGACAGTATCTGGAACGTTACAATGGAGCAATTGCTCGATATATCTTGTTTAAAACAACGGTCTCCACTCCACTGTTCTTGTGAGAGGTTTAAGATCTGAAGGTGAGAATGCACAGGTGTTTGGGGGAATAGCTCGTGTACTTAGAATCCCAAAGCGCTCAATGTACTGATGACAGATTAATTGTATGACTACACTACTTGTGTCTGTTATTGTAACCTTTTTGATTATGAAAAAGGTTTTCCAAATGATTCGTTAATGAACAAAACTACTATACAACAACATGAAAGCAAGTTTTACTATATTAATCCAACATCTATTTCTGCTCCGCTCTGTTCTGTATTTACTGGCCGTTTATTGTTTTTTTTAAGTTTCTGATATTTGTCTCTTTTGGTAAGTTGTTTGAGTTATCTAGGCGTATACCTTACACAGATCAGCATTGATTCACGGCTAAATTGAAAGGTGGACAAATAATGTCCTTATACTTTTAGGGTCTCATGTGTGACTTCAGTAGTCTATACCAATCGTGTTTCTCAGTTGAGCACTCATAACACCCTTGGCTTAGAACAACATACGTGTTTGATTTTTCCTGTATTTCTGTCGTTCATGGTTATTCAAATGTTTGGTGTGGTTGCTGTACCGAAGAATGTTTTCATCCGGACAATGATTACACATACGTGAATTACATTTTGTCGCCTCGTTCTGTTTCAGGAGCGGCAGTTCCTCACATATTCCAACTATATCTTCACGTTTGTCTTTGCCATGGAAATGTTGATAAAGGTATGTGCTCTGAACATTACTCTAAGTTATCGTTTAAATGATTGCATCCCTGCTGTTGAACAATTCATTACATTTTTGGTAGGGAGACTTCGAGCACCAAAGTGATATTTTTAGCTAATTAGAATTGTGTGTGTGCACCTTCTGAGCTTTCTGCATACTAGTATGAGTTGACCTAAAGGTGTTTATCTTTAAATGCACTATTCGCAATGTGAGAGTTTCGTCTTTTTTTAAATGGAGGTTTAAAAAAAAGAGGCGGGAGGGTGCACCTCATCTCTTCTACCTACTTATCCTGGGCTTCTTATTATAATAATTTCATCTCACATTTTTCAAATCTAGAATGGTGATTGAAAATCACGGTGAGACATTCATTGCGTTATAACTAACACAGCATCATCAAACATAATATTGGTCTTTACCCTCCCCAGGTGATAGCCAAAGGCTTCTTCGTGGGCAAACACGCCTACTTGAAAAGCGGCTGGAACGTGATGGATGGGTTCCTTGTCATCATTTCTCTCATCGACATCTTTATCTCCCTCTCAGCCAACAACAGCCCGCGTATTTTCGGCATTCTCCGCGTGTTCCGGCTTCTGAGAACCTTGAGGCCTCTCAGGTATTGGCACACAGAATGACAATCTATCAAACAGAAAGATAAACGGACATATTGACAAGCAGATAGATGGTTTGATAGGCCAACTCAGGACAGACAAACTATCAGAGATACATAGTTGGATGTTTGGACAAGTGGACGGATGGTTTTATTGGCTGACTTAATGCAGACGAACGAACAAACAGAGAGAGAAAGAGAGAAAGAGATGGAGAGAGAGAGAGAGAGAGAGAGAGAGAGAGAGAGAGAGAGAGAGAAATGTACGTGCATGTAGGTAGATGGTTTGACTGGTCATTTCAGTATTGACAACTACCAAACAGACGGACGATTGGGCAATTTTAGACAGATGAATTGTCAGGCCGACTCAATAAGAATACATTTTGTACTTCTATACAGACAGGTTGATAGAAAGACCCCCATACCTTTAAATTGTGCGATGCCAGCATAGCCAGAATACAAAGTAGAGAGGTTATTACAGAATGCATGTAAAGGGTGGAACTGTTAGATTCCTATTCTCTCATAAGCGCAGTGTCTCAAAACGTTTTATTTCATGTTGGGCCTGTACTTTCGAATTCTATAAAGTATAATGATACACTCTTACTATCAGAGTTTTTGTTCCACTCATAATTATACAAGATCCTGTCTCTTGTAACATCACGTTTGCAGAGTAGTACAATAGCAGTCTAGGATGCTTTATGCATGCAAGAAGAGATTCTGAAAAACCCTCTGATATTACATGTAAGTTCCATCCTTTATTCGCCACAATGTTTGATTCTGCTGTAGATAATTAAAAACTCCTCCCCTATACACTGATCACCTGTTTAACGATAAACAATATAACGCTTACACTTCCAGGGTAATCAGCCGGGCGCCGGGCCTGAAGCTCGTGGTTCAAACCCTCCTGTCCTCTCTCCGTCCTATCGGAAACATCGTTCTGATCTGTTGTACATTCTTCATCATCTTCGGCATCCTCGGCGTGCAACTTTTTAAAGGAACGTTCTACTACTGTAAGGGCCCGGAGGTGCAGCACATCGTCAATAGGACCCACTGCGAGGAAGACAAGAAAAACATTTGGATCAATCAAAAGTATAACTTTGACAATCTCGGCCAGGTAAGCTGAAGACGCTTTAATAGAACTTCTGGGTTCAATGTGTGAATGTTTGCGTTCTTTTAAAGACATCCTTTGAACTGCTATTTTTGTTCTGGGTTGTTACTGCACCAGTGAGTGGTAAGCCTAGAATAATTTTCGTCTGCTTGTGAGGGTGTTGCATTGTCTCAGCTCGGTTGGCCCTGACAGGCGGGGTCAAAGCAAGCCGCCTCCTGCAAGAAGTAGGGCTTATTAAATTATTCGCTGAACATTAAACCAAACATTAAAACTTTCTTGCTAATTCTTGATATAGGCGAAAGTTCATTGCAACCCGCCTCCTCCCCTTTTTCGAATTTTAATTAACCTAGAACGAGCATCAAGGGTCTCCACTTTTACAGTGGTGCCACAATTTGGTTGCCATGATCGAACATGCTTTCATCTTTTAAAGAATGAGGCATGGGGAATCAAAATTAATTGTTTATCATATAACAGCTTTAGACTACAGTAATTTACCACACTGTACATTACAGAGGGACCCGAGAGTCTCATCGGTTCACAAACTTGACTGACCCTTAATTTCATTCCCAGGCTTTGATGGCTCTCTTTGTGTTGGCCTCTAAAGATGGCTGGGTGCAGATTATGTACACTGGCTTAGACGCGGTCGGGGTTGACCAACAGGTGAGTACAGTGGTTCAAATACAGACAGACACATATATATATATATATACACACACAAATGCAATCACAGACACACTACACACATTGACACACGCATCTATAGGCACACACACACACACACACACACACACACACACACACACACACACACACACAAATACACACAGATACACACAGATACACACAGATACACACGTACGCGAACAGACAAGCACATGCACCCTCTCTCTCTTTTTCATTTTTTTTCTTTCTCTGATACCCCCTCTCCCGTTCTCTCCGCCACCCCCCCCCTCTCTCTCTCTCTCTCTCTCTCTCTCTCTCTCTCTCTCTCTCCACCAAGTCACCGTAGTGCAACTTTAAAGGGGAGGGAGGGACAGAAAGAGATAGAGAAAGAAAGAGAAACACCTGCAAACAGACAGATACACTGGGGGAGAGAAGACAGAGAACAAACGTGTGACGATAATGAGGAGAATGTAGTTATTGGTTTCTCTCTTTGTTCTTGTTTCAATTTCTTCTCAGAACCAATTTTAAACGGAGAGTGAACGTCACAAAGACGTACAGATCTAGTGCAATCAGTTTTTGAGGAAAAATATGAACTCCTGTTTTGAAATTGTAGTTACTCGCAAATTATTCTTTTAGCTTTTCTTTTCAAACTGGAGTAACTTTCCAGCAAATTGTGATGTGTTCGGCTACTTCAAGGCTATACTTTTCAAAAACAAACAAACAACAAAAAAAACCAAAACTAATTAAAAAAACAAATAAAAACAACAGCAAATCTGATGAACTTTGGGAAATGACAAGTTTTTCACGTATTGCGACAAGCGAAGACAGGTTAAGCTATATTAATTCTCAAGTCAAAAGGTCAACACTGAAGCTCACGTCAACGATGTTTCCAGACGCGCCTTCGGCACTCCTTGGCAATTCGAAATGGCCATCATTTCTAGCACTTATGTGTACAGAATATAACATTGATCGGTCGCGAACTTTGCGTTCCAGACACATGAAAAGACAAAGCTACTACTTACTGGCCATATTACGGTTACACGGTCACAGTGTTTTGTAGAGATGAGAATTGAAGGCGACATCACTGACAGTCAAGATGACAAATGTAATACAAATAAACGAGCGGGTGTATTATGATTCCAGAACGTTGGCATCAAACAAAATGTTTAAAAAAGTAGTATGAATGCTTCGAGGCTGAATCTATTTAGACAAAACGTTTAGAGGTTTGTGGTTTTGTTAAATTATGTCTATTCATAGTTTATCTCTGCTCATAAACATCGAAGCCCTGACACGATAACAAGAGGTATTCTGAAGTCGTCACTAATCTAAAAACATAATATTTGATGTTCCTGCTTTCCTCAGTATCCCTTGTATTTTGGCTAATAACCATTTCACTACTAATATACGTATACGCTTCTACTCTTGCCTCATCCACAGCCGATTGAAAACTACAACGAATGGCGCCTCATATACTTCATATCATTTCTGCTGCTGGTTGCCTTCTTTGTACTCAACATGTTCGTGGGCGTTGTCGTGGAGAACTTCCACAAATGCCGCGAATCCCAGGAGATCGAGGAACGAGCCAAACGCGCCGCCAAGCGACAAGAAAAGCTGGATAAAAAACGAAAGAGTGAGGACCCAAATGCTTCGTCTGGTTGGTATCTGTGTACTGAGTCTGGCAACTCTCACATTACAAGGCTTTTCGTTTTCGTCTCATTCCCATCCACATTTGGAGTTGGTAGAGATTAAAGTACTCATCGGGAGATAACTCTGGATCCTTTTTTCCACGTATCAAAACGTTTTCACTAACACTACGATTTGAATATGCACGTAAACAGTAACAATATCAGAGACACACAAAATGATGTGGTGTGGCACAGAGTTATTTTTTTCCAAATAATCCACCACTAAGCTTAAAGCTTGCTAATAATAATTGACATCACTTTTCTAAAGAGCCTTGGATGTTCAGTAGATCATTGTCTTGTGTAGATCATATTGTGCATAGTTCACGTTTGAAGTGTGTATTTTAAAGTTATTTTGTATCCTACTTATCTAATATTAGTCGTTATTTTGTATCCTACTTATCTAAAATTAGTCGTTACTTTGTTGAATTTCTTTGGGTTTATTTTGGCTTTTTGCATTCTAAAAAACTCACTCTAAAATCGTTGGAAACAAGCACAGAAAGTATGCATGGACATGATGACAAAACGTTTCCTTTCAAGCTCACAATCTCACTGCCCCTCATATTCAGTATTTCCTTTGAAAGAAAATACAGTATTCTCTCGAATATCACGCTCGAATATCACGCTCGAATATCGCATTCATTTTGAACTGCATTGCCCTTCCCGCATACTCATAAACCTCTCTAACACCTTCAAAAGACTTTCTACGCTGGATTATGAGAGACCATCAGTATCCAAAAAAATAAAACATTTGTATTTGCTCATAATGATAATTGATAGGGTGTCCACAAATAGTCTTGTCGACACAGCTGCCCCTGTTTTTCTATTTCTGCAAACAAAATGTGATGAACCGAGCGAAAAACGTGAATTGCGATATGGTGAGGGAATACTGTACAGAACATCATAACCAAATCGCAGAGCTCGTTAGGTTTAAAATGTTCGCCATACTTATAAATGAAGCTGTTCATTAACCTTTTAAGATTACCAACACTGCCGTAATCACATTCTCTTCACATAGAAAATATAAAGTGGCGGTGGTGAGATCCACAATTGTAGATCTTTGGGTCCAAGCCATCCTTCACGGTAGTTTCAGTGGTTTATACGACATCTCCCATCCTTTCCCCTCTTTTCCATTCCCTCTCCCCCACTCACTCCCTTTCCTCCCTTTTATATACCAGGGACCTTTAATTAAAGCGAAACATGAAAAATTGAGGAGTAAATACGAAATTTAAATACTCTAATGTCATGCTGTGCATGCACATTTATACTAGATTTATACCATAATATAATATTTCGCTCTGACTTACTCGGTAGCTCCGTCACTGTATTATACTGCCTTGTTTGCAAAGGCTTAAAATTAAGACATGCGAACTAAGTTTTATAGTGTTTTTTTCATATTTTACGTTTGCATCAAGCGTAAACCATTGCTTTTTTCTTTGTATAGATGTGTTGTATACCTTTGTTATTTTAAAATATAATTATAATGTAGTCTCGTAACCTATTTCAGTTATTGGCATCATTAATATAAACGTCTCCCTTTTATCATAACAATATTGCAGTCCGCCCATACTATTACTGGCATTATGTCGTCCATCGGGTGCATAGGTCAGCTTTACTTTCAAGGAAGAATTTGCAACAGCCGAGCACCCGATATTCAATGTAACAACCATCATGTTTTGTTTTTCTGCTCCTTAGTATCATGTGTTTTGCATCACTTCATCCCGTTTTTACTCACGATTGTTTGGCATTTTACGGGGTGCCAACTACGGATGGGATCGGCCGATCGGCCAGGTCGCCTAAAAACGTGTTGGTTTTCAGTGTCAGGCGACTGTGTCGGGCGATTGGCACGATCCTGTCGCAGTGGGCACCCCGTATACCATCACAGAGACCATTGCCTTGAAAAGGTCTCTTTGTGAAAGCGTTCATTTTCTACACTTCTGTGTTTTGTTTTGTTGATTTTTGAGTTTTTGTTTTGAAAGCACAGAAATGTACATCGCATCTGTCATGCACCAGCAGTCATCAATATTTTTTACTACGTTGTTTTCTTTTGTTTTAACACTGTTTGATTTTTCTGTGCGTGTGATTTTATTTTGGTATATTTGTTTTCTTTTTGAGCGCGTGTCACCAACATTTTTTTTTTTTGCTGCAGCTTCTTTTCCTCCACCAGAGGGCAACAGTTTCGCGTTTAACCTCTCAGCCTGCACTCTTTGTGCCTTTTGCAAACTAATTCAAAGTGTTTCATTACAGATGGCACCCTCTTTAAGAAATCTGAAATGCCGCAAATTCTGCTTAACTGGCTTGTTTTAAACAACATAATCAAAATGTAGGTCTTGCATTGAGCTCTAGAAAGAGAACACCTCCACCGTGCATTCATTACCTGTGTGTTGTGTGCATAGCATGAGCAAAATTGCTAGCTTAGAACTTGCGATCTTAACAGCATGAATTACGAATAGCACTTTCACTCAACTCCATGGTTTTAATAGCCTTAACTATCACAAACAGGCCAGGTCTGTATTGGGTGAACAAACCTACTCTCTGGGTTCTCAAGTATTGCCTCTAGACTCCTATCACCCTCCGGCGTTTGTCTCCTGGAACTTACTCCCACCCCCTCCCCCCTTGCACTATCAAAATAAAAATGGCGCCCTCTGATTAGTATACCGTTGTGTCCGTTATGTGTTTGCTATATATAGGCTAACTCTGACTTATTTTATAACACAATTTAATGTTTCTGAACGCTGTCGACACGTTGGTCCTTCTGGCGACGTATGCGTGATCAACCCAGGCTCACACGCAAATTTAAGTTGTGTTTTTTTAAGTTTTAGTAGAGGTTTTACGGCGCTCGCAACTGCAAAAGGTCATATGAGCGCCAGAAGATTAGAGGTGTTACAAGAGAGTAACAAATATAAAAAAGAAGAGGGGGAGATAAGAACGACAGACGTTTCATAGGAAAGAAAAAGCAAACCATACCAGAGCACCTGCCAACCACCCACTTGACCTTTGGTTTGAAGAGGGTCGTGATAAATAGAAACTACTGATCAGTCCACTCTATAGACAACCCCCCCCCCCCTTCCACCTTATTGAGAGTTTGATACTGTGACAGTAAAGATGTGTCATGTCTATGGCAGGATTGATGCAAATGGTCTGTAAGCTGTTCAGATGTACTAAGCCCATTAAAAAAGAAACAACAGCAATAACAAGAAACAAAATTAAGGAGTCTTAACCTGGAATAACGGTTGGATGCTCGATAAATATCTTTTTGAAATTCAAAATTCTAAATGTTGAAAAAGTAAGAATAGATGCATACTAAATGTACAACTCTCCTGAAAAAAATTGCTTTCCTGGACTGAGACCAGGTGAATGGCTTACCGACGAAATATTACTTGTTGTCCGTTGCATTCCTTCTAGTCAATAATCATAAAGAACAGTGTCACGAGCCTTAAAATAAAGGAAGCGTTTGCCATAATAGTCCAGACCCCAAAGACAACAAATATGTACAGGAAGTGTATCAAACAACCCCAAGATATCAAATCCCGTTTCTAAAAGATGCTGCATTTATCTTCTTTTTTTGTGGCATATCGTACATAGTAGCGTCAAGCGTTTAGCAGAGCGAGCACAATACATGCAATTGAACATGACGGAATGATGCAGTCATTCTAATTGACTCCCTGCGCTCATATCTCATGCCCACCAATTATGTGTTTTGACCTAGGTGTTAGAAAGCTAAGCTGATCGTCTCGTTGTGTAGCTGTGTCCTTACTTGCATTTTGAGTCGTGTCCCTTTTTGTTCAGGCGCTTCTCTGTAAGTCATTGTTGACTTCTTATTAGCCATACACATGTACGCATTCATATATTATTATCTTTAACATCGTACCATGTGCTGCAATATTATATGTTTGCAAAAAAACAAACAAAAAAACACACACATGCATTTGCTATCTTAAACTGTCTTCTAGAAAAATTGAAACGGGAAAACCATTGCTTTATTTATTGTCTCAGTAAAGTGACAATAGTGGTAGGCTTTCTTTTTGGAGCAACCTAGACACAATTTGAAGGCAACATGCTTGGCCACACGCCAGAGGGAGGGGGTACAATGTCCTGAAGGGCGAGGGAAAATTAAACTGTACTCGTTTTCGAACAGGAAACCCCTATGCGTCGGCCAAACCATAGGTTCTAAGATTGTCACGATTAGTCCATGGTGTTCAAATACATCTGCATAATTATGTGGTGACCCTGATCACTAACAAAGTCCACCCAGTAGACATTTTGGGGGGCCAGTTTCCGACTTTAACCGCTTAACTCGGTTTTGAATCTATCTGGATAAATAAACAGTGTTCTTCGAGCATCACAGAGGCTATGTTCTAAAATCTCCAGCAATCAGGGAATATCTTCGCAGTAAAAACAATATTATTATGTTTACCTTCTTCCGCACCTTTATAAACCCACCGAACACCCTTATATATAGCTCTACCACGCTCTTAAAAACATGTATTTCTACACTTGGAGGAAGAGGGACAAACGGTGTTTAAAAAAAATAAATAACACTTCAGAAGCCTATTCAATTGTCAGTAATTTTACCAAAATTCAAGTTTGTCAGTCAATGTTATCGCACTAGAACTTCTCCGGTTCTCCTACTTTCGGCTAGAACAAAAATGCCATTTACCGAGTCCCTAAAATGTAACCGCGATCTGGCGAGGGAATCCTGTTAAAACTTTTGGAGAATACAATGACAGACAAACACTACGTTTTAAAACTTTGAAAAAACGATCACATTACTGCAAAAACAATCCTGTTTGTCCAACGATATTTCTTTTTTCTAAAATTATATTCCAGCTTGGATCCCCTTTTGTAAACATCCTGGCGGGAACGTGATAATTAATCATTAACTAATTTTAGATCGCGCAAACTTAAATGCAGATCTTTCGCACCTGCCCACATGAAACACAACCAG